CCACGCAGGCTGCACCCTACCCGCTCGGCTGCGGCTGCGGAGCCCCCAGCCCAGCCCCGGCCCGTGGAGCCACAGCCCGTTCCCGGACGAGGCCAGCTGGACCCTTCGGGTCACTACATCCAACCCAGCCAGGCCAGTGCCTCCCCACCTCCCTTTCAGGTGTGGCTCCTCTCCTTGCCTCCCATTGCACTGTCCCCTGCCTGGCCAGCCCCTCCCAGACCTCAGGCTGACCCTCTCTGCTCCTAAACCTCCGTAGCCTGGCCACCAACCCCAGCCTTCTCTGTTCCCTCACCTCAGCGGGGGCCATGAAGCCCCCCTCGGGGCCGGAGGAAGCCCGGCGGCAGGCCTCGGACATCAGTGTGTTCGCCAGCAGCTGCACGCTACACGGGCTGAGCCATGTCTTTGGTCGAGGAAGCCTGACCCCGCGCCGGGGGCTGTGGGCCGTGGCCATGCTCCTGTCGATGGCTGCCTTCCTCTACCAGGTGGCAGAGAGGGTGCGCTACTACGGGGAGTTCCATCACGAGACGGCCCTGGACGAGCGCGAAAGCCACCAGCTCATCTTCCCGGCCATCACCCTGTGCAACATCAACCCGCTGCGCCGCTCACGTCTCACGCCCAACGACCTGCACTGGGCCGGGCCCTCGCTGCTAGGCCTGGAGCCCTCTGAGCACGCCGCCTTCCTACGCGCGCTGGGCCAGCCCCCCACACCACCCGGCTTCATGCCCAGCCCCACCTTCGACATGGCCCGGCTCTACACCCGGGCTGGGCACACCCTGGAGGACATGCTGCTGGACTGTCGCTACCGCGGCCAACCCTGCGGGCCTGAGAACTTCACTGCGGTGAGCTGGCCACCCACCCTTCCCACCAGAGACCCCGGAGTGCCGAGGGCTGGCCATCCCAGTCTTGGCAGCCCAGGTTCCCCCAAAGCCAGGGATCTTAGCACCTGTGCCCTGGGACCCTGTCCTTCCCAGCAGGATGCAGGTCCCCACCTGACCAATACCCGCCTTTCTGTTGAGACCAGCCCTGTCACTCAGCTGAACTAGAGTGTGCCAGGTCACACCTTCCAGAGTGGGCACTCACCCAGGCTGGCTCTGGGCTCAGGACTGGTCTATGGAAACCTCACTACTGGGGGTGGAGGGATACAAGTGGGGCTGGACCATTTCAGGGCAGAAGACTCCACTGTCTGCGAGGGAGGGGCTGGTTTCCCTCTGCTTCACATTCTGCCAGTCCTGGAGGGGAGCAACTGGGACCCACTGTTTTTACCCCAGCCTCCAAAGAAACACTTGCCCTGTGGACGGGTGCCCTAGGCTGCGGATAGAAGGGGTGAGAAGGTGGCATGATGGGAGCCCATGAGGGTCCAACTACATGCGCCTGTATGATGGGGGGGCATTGAGATGTGGGCCTCCATGTTCAAAGAAGAAATCCAAACAGGATGGGGAAGGGAGCGGTCCCATGGCCCTAGGCTTGCCTGGCTGCCCCTTGCTCCCCAGTGAGGTCTGCACCCGTCTGCTACCCCCAGATCTTTACCAGGATGGGTCAGTGCTACACCTTCAACTCCGGTGCGGATGGGGCAGAGCTTCTCACCACCCCCAAGGGCGGAGCGGGCAATGGGCTGGAGATCATGCTGGATGTGCAGCAGGACGAGTACCTGCCCGTGTGGAAGGACATGGGTAGGGGAGCCCGCGTGTGAGGCTAGCGGGTGGCCCCCGGTGGGGTGCAAAAGGCTCTGGGAAGGAGAGGAGGTGCTGGGAAGGGACCTGAAGCTGTCCTTCCTTTATGAGTAGGGAGCGGGCGGGGTTGGCCCAGCACAGGCCTGGGGAGAGGGGCTGCAGCCAGGGCCCCCAGGAACCCAGGCCTCAGGTCCCTTCCCCCCTCACAGAGGAGACCCCGTTTGAGGTGGGGATCCGAGTGCAGATCCACACCCAGGAGGAGCCACCAAGCATCGACCAACTGGGCTTTGGGGCAGCCCCTGGCTACCAGGTTTTTGTGTCTTGCCAGCAGCAGCAAGTATCCTTGCCTGGGCCAAGCCCCCCTTCCCCGCCCCCCACCAAGGCTCACACCCCCTCCTGCAGCCCACACCACTGAGACCCCAACCCTGCAGCTCTTCAGACCTGTCCCAGGGCCTCAACCCCGCAGTGACCACGCACATTCTCCCTGGGCGCCCGCTTCTCCCCAAGCCTCCTTAACCCTCTACAGCTGAGCTTCCTGCCACCACCCTGGGGCGACTGCAGCTCCGCATCCCTAGACCCCGACTTTGAGCCAGAACCCGCTGGTCCCCTGGGTCCCCCCAGCCCCAGCCCCGGCCCCAGCCCTCCCTATAGTCTAATGGGGTGTCGCCTGGCCTGCGAAACCCGCTATGTGGCTCGGAAGTGCGGCTGCCGAATGAGTAATTTTAGTAGTAAAGGTATTAATATGAAGAAGAGGTTTACTCAGAGTTCCAATGTAGGCCCTGGTATGATTTTTCAAACACCTCACCCAAGGGAGTTTGTGCCCACATAAACCCACCCAGCAGAAAGCTGTTTACAGTTCAGGCAGATAATTTGGTGCCAGTGAACTGACTTAGAGCTTAGTATGCGGACCTCTGACTGCACAAAAAGGCTGACCAGTTGAAAAAGTTCACTGTCCTCATAAGTCTCAGAGATTTGACCCGGGCCAACCAGGCCTTCCTGTGCCCACCCACCAGCCTGCATGTCAGCACGGGGCTCTGGACTAGCCGCCTAACGTTTCTGACGCTGTGTCCTCTGCAAACGGGGGTGACGATGTCCCTCCTAGAGACCAGGGAACGCGCACCAGGGCGCGTCCAGTGAGCATTCCCGCCCCCTTTCCTCCAGGGAGAACGTACTGGTGCTGGACATCTTCTTTGAGGCCCTCAACTACGAGACAGTGGAGCAGAAGAAGGCCTATGAGGTGTCAGAGCTGCTAGGTGTGTGTGCAGGGCGCCCTGGGGAGGTGTGCACAGAGCAGGTGGCTGTGAGCCGACAGTGACTCCATCTCTACAGGCGACATTGGGGGCCAGATGGGGCTGTTCATCGGGGCCAGCCTGCTCACCATCCTCGAGATCCTGGACTACCTCTGCGAGGTGGGCCTGCGCCCAGCTCTGGGAGAGGGAAAGAAGCCACAGACCCACCCGGGAGGTGGGGGGAAGAGGAGGAGGTGTGGGCTGACCACCTCCCCCACTGCTTGCCCCCAGGTGTTCCTAGACAGGGTCCTGGGATACTTCTGGAACCGGAAGCGCTCCCAAAGGCCCTCCAGCACCCATCTGGTAGCAGCCCACTCTTCCTCCCCTGCCACCTCCACCTGGATGCTCGGCCGTCCCCTTGAAGCCGGCAGGGAGGGGCATGCAGGACTTGGCTGGTCCCTGGGTGGGAGGAGCCTTCCCCTCCTCTGACCCTCTCCCTTCTCCCACAGCTTCAGGAAGGGCTGGGCAGCCATGGAAATCAAGTGCCCAATCTCAGTTTAGGCTCCAGGTAACACAAAATGCCCCCTAAGGTCAAGGGAGATGGGGCAGGTCCAGTCCAGAGGGTGGCGTTCAGGTCCAGGAGGGCAGGAGCAAGGTAGGGCATTGGTCCGAGGCCTCCTGTCGCAGCGCTGTGGTCTGTGTCTCAGCAGGCCTTCCACCCCTCCCTGTGCCGTCACCAGGACTCTTTCTGCCTCCCACCGCACCTGCTACCTCGTCACACGGCTCTAGACCTGGTGTCTGTGTCTTCAGGGCCGAACCTCAACATCCTGGACACGCTCTGCCTGCACATGACTTTGCCATCTTCATCCCAAATAAAGTTCTAGTGCATCCGCCTGAGCTGTTCCTCTTACAGGCAGACCCGTCAGGCCAAGGTCAGCCCTACTCAGGCACAAGACTTCTGCCAGCCATCATCTAAGGACATGGTGTCTGAAACGTGGGTGGCTTCCCAATTAGCCTGCAAATGTCTCTCTGGGAGAGAAGAGTAAGAAGGGGGCACCAGTCATTTATACCTCAGTGGGAATAAGTTTCAGTGTGACATCTCAGAGAGAATGGAGCCCAAAGCCAGGTGTGCAAGCAGACAGGAGTCAGTAGCAGGACAATCCCACTGGGGGACTATCGGGAAGTGGGGAGCAGGCAGAGGGAATCTCCCACTTCCAAGAACACAAGCTGCTGTCCTGCCTTAGGTCATGACTGTTTTTCTCACATATGGGACCAGGCTCAGCGTGCTGTCTCCACGGGAAGAGCTCTTGCTTCCCCGGCCTCCCTTCAACAGCACAGGCCCCAGCTTGAGGTGGTGAGGGGGCCGGCCTCACTTCTGTAAGGACACACCCAGCCACAGCCCACTTTCCCTGCAACCCCAAATATGAGAAACCTGACAAGGCAGCAGGGAGAGGTGTTCCTGATCTAACTACATCTTTGAGTCTCTCCTGTCCCAGCCTGCAGGCCGAGGTATGGGGGGATGAAGAGGGAAGGGACAGGGCAGGCACCCATGGGATACAGAGAACCACAAGGAAACGCCGGCCCTTTTCTCCTGTTCCAGTGGAAGCTCTCGGACACTGGCTGCCTAAGCCCTTAGTCACGGGCCCTCCTGCCGAGAAAGTGGCGTGCACAAGCACATAAGCACGTGTGGGCACAGCACTGCCCTGGGCCCAGCCACTGGGTTGAGAGTCATAGCCCCTGCCCCCAGCCCTCAGCCCCCAGCCCAGGACCACGTACAGCACACAGTGGGACAGGACAGGGTTGCATGTGGTGGTGAAGCGGGGTAGAAACCCCAACCCAAGCCCACCCTCTCAGAGCCACCCACCACCACATTAGCCAGACTGTGGGAAAGGAGCCAATTTATGAAATTAAATAAAGTCTGTAGAGGGAGAGAGAACCCAGGCGAGGGCGCCTACACCCGCGTGGGCCCAGCACAGCTGGAGCTCAGCACACTGTGCGTTCTTGCTTTCCTCCCCTCCCGGGAGGGGGCTGAAAACAGGCCAGGCCCCAGCCTGGCGACCCAGGGTCCCAGAGCCTAGGGGGGGCAGAAGTCGGAGAAGTAGGGGTGCTGCAGAGCCTCCTCTGCCGAGATGCGCTGGATGGGGTTGCACTTCAGGAGGTTCTGGAGGCACGGAAGGAAGGCGTGGCAGGGTCAGGCAGGGCCAGCTGCCCGGAGCCCCACCCTCCCCCAGTTCCCCTGCTCCCGGTCACCTGCAGCAGGTCCCTGCCTGTGGCATTGAGCTTGGGTACGACGTTCACCAGGGATGTTGTGGCCGGGTACATCGGGTAGGGCTGTAGGAGACAGACAGAGTCAGACCAGAGGTGAGGGGCACGGAGGCTGCTAGGGCTGAGAAATAAGGACCACCGCTGAACCATGACCCCCACCCCCCGTAACACCTTATAGTCCGGCAGCTTGGTCATAGCAGGCCATTGCTCCTCAGTCGGTGTCCCCAGCAGTGTGTCCAGGGAGTCAAGGATCACTCAGGGCAACAGGGCAGGGTGCGAGGCTCTTCTCCCAGGAAGAATTCCTCAGACTCACCCCTGCCCACCCCGCTTTATCCGCCAGCTCACCACAGAAGCAGCCCCAGCACATGGGATTCTCATTTTCAGTCCCACCTGCATGGTGTTTACTGTGGGCCAGGCGCTACAGATACACATGTCATCTGCTGGGACCTGAACCCTGATGTCTGTGTACTGAGGACCCGCCAGCCTTCCCCGACGCCCACAGACCCTCCTGCCAATCCTTTTGGCTCCCTGGTCCTAAGGAGTCACCTTGCAGCTGGAAGAGCATTCTCTTGGCTTCTTCCCCCAGGGAAACCTTGTAGCTCTGCATGCAGCTGCACTGTGACAACCAGGGGTGTTCCCCACCCTCTGCCCTCTACCCCTGACCTTCAGAAGCCCACAGCCCCTCCCATGCTGACCCAGCCCATCGCCCAAGGCTCCTCACTCCCCTTCCAGAGGGCTCGGGGCGAAGGGGAATGGAAGGATATCGGAAGATCCTCTTCAACTGGTCATCTACATCGTTGCCGGGGAAGAGAGGCCTCCCTGCATTGGCCAGCTCTGGGAGAAAGAGGACAGGGTGAGAGGAGCGGACACACGAGGAAACCCTCACTCCCAAGACTCCCCAGCCCCAATGGCCCTGCTCCTTGCCCCAGAGGGGACCCTCCAAACCCTATCTGTCAGCTCAAAGGGGAGAGAAAGTGCCTCTGCAGACCCCCAGCACGTCACCTGCAAAAATGCAGCCGGCTGACCACATGTCAATGGACGTGGAGTACAGCTTGGCCCCAAAGAGGACATCCGGTGGGCGGTACCACAGCGTGACCACCTGGAAAAGACCCCACCCACAGGGGCCCCCCACTTAGAGGGCTGGGGGGAGGAGGCTCAGATAGGAGAGAGTAACGTTTTGGGTCCTAGATAGGAGCTGAGAGAGATGCTCACTGGGGAAGCCCTCCCTCAACCCAATATCCCACCCCGCCCGCTCACCTCAGCTGAGTAACAGCGAACAGGGATCCCAAAGGCTCGAGCCAACCCGAAATCAGCCAATTTCAGCTCCCCATTCTGAGGGAGATGGGAGGAACAGTGTCAGGGCTAGCTCCGTGGTCCCACCTTCCAGCCCAGCTTCCTCGTCATTCAGACATTGGCTCCAGTCTCCCCCATCTCCCACCTTCTCCCCAAAAGGTACCCTGTTTATGAGCAGATTCTGAGGCTTCAGGTCCCTGTGCAGCACGTTTCGGCTGTGACAAAACCCCAGGCCTTTTAGCAGCTGGAAGAGGAATGACTGGGGGAGGAGCAGGGAAGAGGGCGTCAGACCCTCAGGATGGGAAGCTGTGCCCAACTCCCCTTTTCGCCCTCTGCTTTGCTTCGTACCCACTGGACTTTTAGCACCAAGTTGAGCGACACACCACTCATTTATTATCAAGGGTTTACTCTGTATTATGCTGGATATTAGAAATGAACAATGAATGGGGGGACTTACAGCCATGTGCACCTGCCTACCTTCCCGGCGCACAGTATTCTCCCTTCCCTGGCCTCATTTGAACATCCACGTCATAACAGTCAACATATACATATATTGTGCTATATTATTATTCAGCATTTGTTTCCCTTGGAATCTGAGACAAGGCATTTGGTCGTGGGCCTAGAACAGTGCCTGGCGCACAGCAAAACATTCAGTATTTGTTGAATGAATAATGTCTCTCTTTGAATCTCATTTTTTCATCTCTCGAGTGTAAATCATGTCACTGAGACCATTACTGTCAGGTCAGAGATCATGGGAAAAGGCTCCTGGAGAGTAAACACAGGATTCTCTCAGTCCCGGACACCCAGAGCGTCTCTGTTCAGGGCCTGAGCTTGGTGCTCAAAGGCAGGTACACTGAACGTATACTCGAACCCCAGCCTCCACGAGACCCCAGAACAGCAGTCCCCTCACCTTCACAATTTCAGGATCTAGATCACCATTGCAGCTGTCAAAATATTTCTTAAGGTCCTAAAAAGGGATGGAGTGGGGGAAGGGACAGAGTTTAACCTCAGTCTGGGCCCCTATATCCTCCCAAGGCTACTGTCCCCCAAGTCCCACTTTCACCTGGTCACAGAACTCAAAAACCAAAGTCAACTTCTTGTCGCTATGCAGGACGTCATGGAGCCTAGGGAGAAGGGAGGGCTTAGCCAGGCAGGTCCACAGGATGCTCCTAACACCCCACTAGCAGCCCAGTCCATCGCTGAAGCCCCCACCTCCTCCGGATGGCTACACAGGCAAGGAGGAGCCTGCGGGCCTACACACCTGACAATGTTCTTGTGCTTCAGCTCTTTGAGTAGGCAGATTTCCCGAAGGGCAGAACTCGGCACTCCCTACACATGGGAGGGGGCAGGGTGGGCCACAGTCACATCCCACCCAACCTAGGCCCTCAATCCCCGCCCCTCCCCACCAGAGGCCCCAGTCCTACCTCATCATCGTCATCCAGCCTCACCCGTTTCAGGGCCACGATCTCATGAGTCTCCCGATTTTTGGCCTTGAACACTGTTCCGTAGGTGCCTAGTGGTAGGAGGTTGGGGTGAGGGAAAGAATGGGGCACCCTTCCCCACTCCAAGAAGTCCTTCCCAAGAGGGGAGGTATCATGGGAGTGTGTTCCGATGCCTGGACGAGTAAGAGAAGAGAATCAGGGTGAAAGCCGGGCGTGGCGGAGCTTTGTGAGTGGGGACGTGGCACAGAGGGGCCTGCAGAGGCTCAGAGGTCTAAGCAAGGGGCGGCTGTGACTGCCAGGCAGGTCAATAATGAAGGCAGTGCTTTGAGAGGGGCCGGAAATAGTGAGCAGGGGTCTGGGAGAGGAATGAAGGCTGGCAGGAACGTTGAGGTTGAGGTCTGCTGTCAGAACTGAGGCTGGGGGGAAGGGGGTCGTACAAGTGGTGCTGAGGTCCGGAGATCGGGCCTACAGGGAGTGCTAAGTTTGGGAGGGGGCGTCTGCAGGAAATGCTAACAGGAGGATTGTTGTTTGCACCGAGTGTGGAGCTCGGGCCAAGGCTGCAGCCGGTGCTGAGGTCGGAGTCTGTGGGCATTGCTGATGGTAGAGGAAGGAGCCAGAGATGCAAGGAATGCAGAAGATCTTGCAAGAACATCTCGTGGTCCTATTACCTTCCCCAATCTTCTCCAGTTTCTCGTATTTCTGCATCGCAGCCGCTTCGGGGACCCTTGTGGGCCCTCCGTTTTAATATTCTGGCCCCGGCAATGCAGAGGAGGCGGCACCCCAGCCTCCAGCCCGGCCCCGCCCTCCCGCCTGCCCATGAGCTTCTGGAGCTTGTAGTCCTAAGACCACCAGGCTTCCCAGTAATGCCCGGCGCCCGAGGCCGCCAGAGGACTA